GCCTCGTGGTTGCCCGGCAGCGCTGCTCTACGGGTGCGGAATTGCGGTGTGGATGCTGCGACGTCACCGTTTCAGCGACGCCAATATGCTGCTATGCCAATAAAATGCGGCGGGCAATGGTTGGCATCGATCGCACGCCGTCGTGGGTGATGATGGCGATGAAGGGGAGAGTCACAGAAAAAAAACAGGGCAGTCGAGGGAGGATGCGGACAGACGGACAGCAGTATGGTCAAATCAGTCAGCCAGCCCGCAAGCAGCTGGGGCGTTGCGGTTTACTATAACGCTGCGCCAGGATTGCTGAGTAGGCCGGCTCTAGGAGACCCCCCTGGCGATGCTGCGGCTGGTGTGTATTGCCTCGCGCAAGCATGACTGGCTTACCCAAGTTTGCGCGGGTGGTAGTGGTCCTGTACTCAGGGCTGAAGGCTGTCACGGCACCGCGTGCTTTCGGCTTCCGTCCGCCTTCTCCTACACCTAGACCAGGCCCTTCCGTGGGGCCATGCCATCGCATCGCGCAAGCCGCCGCCGCCGCTTCACATGAGCATGCTGCACGTCGCATCGGTCACGGCGCCTAGGAAACATCCAGTCCAATCACGCCCACCAGCGGCCACATGGTCGTTTGAGACTTGGGGCTCCATGCCATCTGACAGGATTATCCCCTCAGCCGGCATGACTTGCGAGGCCCAGCAAGCGAGCCAGAACGGTCAGCATCCCCGCTGAAGACACTTTGCAACACACAGCGAATCCACGCCGCCGTCCTGGTCACAGATGGAGCACACTGCAACCGAAGGCACACGGCCGGCTCCCCGTCACGCCCAACACCCAACCAGACCTGTCTTCGGCCTGACCAGTCCTCTGAGACAAGCTCATGCCGAACTCTCAACCACCCGTCACCAGGTCTTGGTCGCCCTAGGGCACCACAGCATGACTGCGCATCCTCCGCACCGCAGCTGGCTCATCGAGGGGCCCCCCGGTGGGCCGTCAAAACTCGGGTCAGGGCACGGCGCTTGCGTCGCCAGGCTGACGATTTTTTGTCCCATGTGAGATTTGTTCCCACTCGATCCGTCCCGAATTGGCACATGTTAGGCCCTGGCGTGGTTGGACGATAAGATACACCTATGCGGGGTGAGGCGGGGCTCTTCTGCGTGTCACGCCCAATAATGACATATCCTACCCACGGGCTCCTGGCGAAGCAGGTCCCTCTACGTGGTCCTCCACCATTGCGCAGCACAACTGGCGACGAACATGTCTTGTGCACACGAGAGAACAGGTGCTGGCCACCAGGCATGATATCATGTCCGACAGGTACGCTGCACTACACATGTCATCCCACATCAGCCACCTCATTCACTCCTCATCTGGACACTTCCATACGGGCACTTGAACGTCGACTACGATCGGCTTATGGTGCCCAGTAGGCTTTCCAGCAATCCTTGGGCCCAGGTATGCTGCGTTGACCACTGTCGTTGTCTCAATACGCGCCGTCTCTGCACCTCCAAAAGCCCGACCCGTCCTGCATCCATCGTTGAGACATGCATGTCCTGCATTCCTCAATTGTTTACTATGGTTCTCTCCTCTCCACCACGCCTCATTATTCTCAAGGGCAATGCCAGTGAGGCTTGACGTCGGGACAAGGTTCCCATCACCGGATGGGGGCTGACGCCATGTAACATCCGGCGCAAGAGATGCATCAGCCTGGCTTCTCATAGTACCATCTTGCATCGAGTCAGACATGCTTTGACGTGGCAGCCCTGTATCGCAGCCCAAGTCGCGCCCTGCTATCGACTTGATGGTCAAGTCAACTAAGGAGATTTTGTTGCTAGTTTGCCCTGGATCGCTCCAGAATTCTACGCTTTGCACTAGGCTACCACTATCGCTCTGTGTGGCTTGGTCCAAGGGCTGAGTCCTCCACCGTACTGTCTCGACGCCTCGTCCTTGATGGATATGACCGCAGATGCTCAACTTGGGGCGGATCTTCGACAATCTTCGTAACAAAGCTGGGCACCCTTCTCTGCCGTCTCTTGAAGCTTCTGCCGATCCATCGCAATGTCCTTTTGGCGGTGTATGAGTCACGACAATGTCTACCCCATCTGGAATCTTATTCCATACGTCTTCAGCTTCCTCTGCTCGGTACTGGAAGGCCCAATTCGCTTGTTGGGGTGTATACGGACTACCGAATACCGTGAACCGTGTTCCCGGTCCGTTTGGTGAGGTAAGCTCGACCGTAGTAGTGGTATGCTCAAGGTACGTAATCGACTTTGACTCGACCAACAATTTTTTGCACGCCGTGGGGTCTTGGTCGCCAGGCCATTTCCACGAGCCCTTGTTTTTGTTGAAAAACGGCGCATCGAGTGTGATTTCGTGATTACCTGCTCAGGAAGGAACAAGAGAAAAAAAACTCATCAGCCCCACCAACCATTTCAATGCAGACAGGAATGTAAATTACCGGCAACCACAATTTTTGCTTCAAAATCTTGCCTCTCTATCCATTCCACAGCTTTTTTTAATTCGCTATAGCTCCCCTGATTTGTCAAGTCGCCGGCGTGGATGAGCACGTCACCGCAAGGTAGCTTGGGTGTCTGGTTGTGTGTATCCGATACGCACACTATGCGCGTTTTGCGCATGCATGGTGTTGAAACGGGTGCGGGCATTTGCTTGGACACGTGTGGGGTGGTTGCAGAGAGGGAGGGGTTGTAGTTCGGGTGGGCACCAACCAACTACACCTCAACCAAGCTAATCCCTCACCGACATTAGAAAGGACAAGATCGAAAAAAACTTGAACTTTTCTAGCCAATAAGGCTAGAATGCAATATAGGAATAGAAAGTAGACGTGGTGAAAGAAGAGGGAAAAAAGAGGGTTGGAAATCAAGATCATGGGTTGTGCATACGTCATACCTATACATCACTTCCCCCCCCTCCCCTCTCTGCCATTCTAGGCCCCGTGGGTACCTGACATCCCCCCCCCCTCTTCAGCCTCACGAGTCTTGCAAAATAGCAGTGGCATCATATTGCTTGTTCCCGCCCGCAAGTCCCTGAAGTGATGGACAGGCACACCCGTCTGTGGCAAACGGACAAAGCCCCTTTGTGATCGTCCTGGTCTATCTTTCTCCCGGGCACGAGGGAGGGGAGGGGGAGGGGCTGTATTTGCTTGTTGTCGCCGCACCTCGGCCTGTTGACCCTTTTTTTTCCTTCGCCACCGCCACCCCACCCACATTGACGCCAAGGCTTTCCGAGTAACTTGCCGCGTGCTGCCCGCTGTCAAAGTTGTTTGGTTCAGGGTTGAAGATGCAAGTCATTAGCTTTTTTTTCGTTTTCCTTTTTCTGCGGCAGATGTGGAGGGAGGCGTGTGTAGGGGTGATCTTTGGTGGATGTAGACTAGTGTAGTTTGTTTCAGAAAACGGGCATTGTAACGTCACGTGTGGGGCTGGAAAGATGTGGGTTATAGGGGGGTCACAGGAGGATAGTCTTTGTTGGTTCGTGGCGTAGCACTGACAGTGCATCTGGGGTACTAGGAACTTTGCTCCTTTTTGGGAGTTAGTGTATAGTACTTTGTGGAGAGGGAAAGGGGTCATTGTAGGATATAGAGTTTTGTGCTGTATGTAATAGAATGAGAGATGCTGCAAAGATTTAAAACTAAGACGTAGATGAGACATGTGTATAGACTTAGTAATAGGATCTTTTGTTTGTAATGGTTCATATCGTTGAACATAGAAGACCTGTTTTGTTCTTCATGTATCTGATTGTTTGTGCATTTCTAGATTCAAAATCCTAATTCCCTTCCAGACGCATGTACAAGGACAGCTTATGAAAATGTTACAATTTAACTTATCATGAAGTCACCGCACTTCACAGGTATCTAGCGTACATATTATTCTACCAGCAACTTAGCATATCACTGTTGCCAAGGGCAAGTCTGTGGTAGTAATGTTTCTAGAAGCACACTTGTGTCATTTCGAAGGACTTACAATCCGCTAGCTAAACAAGCATACTAGTAACACATCATTGGTCAAATGAGCAGATATGAAGATACTACATTAACTTTTGAAGTATTTCTAGACCGACGATATCCATCTAAAAACATTAAGCTGATGTATTATCGTTGAACAAAGAACATTTAGCATGAATAATGTGGATAAATCTAGCAGATATTTGCAAATGCTGCCGACTTTGTAGGATTAGACAAGTGATGGAGCAAAATTTATGCTCGTCAACTCACCGAAAATGGATTATTTCTTGGTAAACCTGTTTTCAATGAGTTGTGTATTTGAATAACAACAGAAATACCGCATAAAACTCCTCAAACGTTATCAAGATAGTATCCAGGCTGATACAGTAACTTCCGGTATACGCCTTACCCAGCCGTCTCCCATCACGTTGAAACGCGATATCAGAGCCATGTTATCTAAAAGCGTGTATCGACTCTCTGATGGTTTGCACAGCGTTTTGTTCTCCGTTCAACCCTGTGATTGGCAAAGTCCAAATCATGATTGGTACTAAAAGCGACCCACCAACTTTACATTGGGTAAAGTACCACTCAAGTCAGGCCAAGCAACCACTTTCACACTCACTTTAGCTTGAAGAAAGAGTGAATAACTGTACGTGGAGGGGGTTCGGCCCACGAAGGGCAGTCGCATGGTGAGAAAAGCTAGACCATCCTTCTTGCCTTGCTCACCTTCACCCACAGTCTCAGCATCGCGCTAAAACCTCCACCGTAGCATTTATTCAATTTTCTTATCTCGCTTTTTGCGCGGCGAGGTATAACACCATTCGCAATCCGTATTCTTCCACCATCCAACAAGATCCATCGTTTCCCTTGGTCTAGCAAATATCTGGTATGGGATAAATAGAATCCGCAATCGCGCATCAGCTTGAAACTGACAAATATTTCAGCATTCTCACTTCTTTTTCCAAAGGTCCACCCACAGACATCGCACCGCTATCTTACTTATACTCGAACTTTCCCACTGTATTTCCGCGACGATATAAGAACAAACGGCCCAAAGATGGATGCGACTGGCAACAACACGAATAACTTGGAATATCTAGTATACGACAAAGACGCTACCATTGTTAACCCTTCCACAGCAACGCGACCGACACCAATCCAGCCTATTACCACGATCGTGCCCGTGCTAGACAGGACTGCATACAATGAAGCCGAAGAGACAGAAGGTAGCGAGAGGACACTCGACTACGTCCGAGTCCAGCTCAAGACCTTGCAATACCTAGCATCCCTCCCGGCAGACATGCTCAACGGACAGCAAGCATGCGAGTGGACGCAAATGATCTCGCCAACGAATTTCAAGCCAACAGCACAAGAAGCACTGCGTCTATGCTACTACCTGCGCTCCCAAGGCTTCGACACGTTTGCCACGTTCAAGCGCGGATACATGAGACTCTATGTTGCAAACCAGGAGTCGTACACGCGGAATCCACGTGTCGACGTGCTGTATTGGAAGCAAGATGTCACGACCAACGACGTCAGCTATCAGTGCTCTCCCAGGACACCAGGGCTAGTAGTAGGAGGCAGACGCAACGCTGCTCCGATGATACCACTACATTCCGCTGAGGGTCAAGCGCTTTACGACTACTACCACCGTTTCTATGAAGAGCAACGAATGGAAGAGCAACAAAGGCAAGACCAGCGTACGCTAGATAGCCTTGCGACTCTCGCGTCTGCAGCAGAAATTCGGTTGCAAAACTTGGTCGCTGATGAGAATCCTGATCTGGGGTACGTAGCCCCCTCATGTTCCTTCACGCATATTCTGGTAGTATGTACTAAAAGATTAAAATAGTGAAATAGAAGTCACCCTTATGCAACTGGAAGAATACCGCGCACGGCTCCGTGGGGATTAGTATATCCCTAGGTGTAATGGTCTAGTTGGAGACGCTCTAAGGGTGACATGGGTTAGATGGAGAGGACAAGTGGACGAGTTGAGGAGGGTACGCGCGCTCTGGGGGGTTTCCATGGGTATACGTCGCGCGAGTGTTTGACGGTGTACTAGGGGGTTTTTTTTGGATGGATGGATGGGGCTTGGCTGCGTTTTCCTGGGAAAGAATGGCCTTTTTCAGGGGTTGACTCTTTTTCACCTCGGGTATGTATGTACCGCTGATAGGCAAATGGATATGCAGATAGTATGTGCACCGCGGTACTGGATAGCGTAGCGTAGGTACCGAGGCTAATGACAACGGAAATAGACATATGGATGATAAGTACGCATAGTGGCGCTAGGCGGCCACAAAAGGGCTGCCGTGTAAGAGAAAACAAGGTATACAGTAGTCAGATGCTTGCTATGCTTGGCGCACATGGAAATCAAGTTTTCTAGAAGGTAACTTGTTCCCGCGCACCCCCCCTTAGCAGGCATGAGCACGTGTACACAAAGTATCGGAAGCCAGTGCTTCTGTTCCATTGTTAGTTGAGCGCGAATTACGAAGAGTGGACGATGCATGACAACACCGGAAAAGCTCTGATGGCGGTGCATGTCGTTGTGTTATGCATGGGGACGCCTGACTAGTCAGCAATCACCAAGTTTATATATAAGTATATATGTACACACGGGTAGAGTCATGCTGCGGATGCTGTGTAAATTTTATTAAGGGGGGGAATCCTGCGTGCTCAAGAGTATCTGTCGTCAATAAAGTGTGGCGCGTGTTAATCAAGTTGTTGTTTGGGAAAGGACAGATGCAAGACGCAAGACGCGGATGCTCACAATATAAGCCTTGGCAACCATCTGTACCCGGCACGGACGCGTAGCGGACCGCTGTCTGCAGCCCACACGGACCAGATTACCAATGATACGATGAACCAAATTGTCTGGTACGGAGGGCGTTGACCTGCATGTTGAACCCAGCGCGGGAAATTGAGCTCACGGACACGCCCTTGGCAGAGAGCTGATTGCGGGGAAAGACAATGGGATGTTTTGGCCCATGGGACAGAGAGGGCTTTGGCACAAGGGCGGTAATAGGAATATCATAGGGAGCGCAGGAAACCCGACAAAATAAAAGCAGGGCAAGGCAACGACAAAGGATGGAACAAGAGGTTGGTCGATATATCGATGCAAGTATGCGCTAGGTGCAGCGGCGCACGTAGATCAGTTGGCCAAGCGAGAGGTAATCGGGTGTGCGCGACGCGCTCACGACGCGGGGGGCCCGTCCGGTGCATCCGGCAGCTGTGGTGATGGGAAAAATGAAGAATGGAGGATGGATGTTTTTTTGTGTTTGCAAAGTTGTTGTTGTTGTCGTGCGTGAGTGGGTGTGGATGGAGATGAGACTAGCAAGGCAGAGAGATAGGGATTTGCCGTTTGCAGGCTGCTGCTGCTGTGGTGAGCAGCGACGATGCAGGGCTTACTACTGGCTGGCTGGGAGCCCTGTCAGCGACTCCCGCCGAGCTGGAACGGATGACTGAGTGGAAGTTTGAGACGAAGAAGGTAGGCGTGGGTGTCGAGGGGAGAGGGGGAGAGGGGAGAGGGGAGAGGGGAGAGTGATGGGGGTTGGGATGTAGATGATGGAGAATGAATGGGTGGTCAAGGGCGGATGGTGGATAGAGAAGCGGAAGGTGGTGGTGGTGAGGCGTGGGCAGGCGCGTTGGGGCGGTGATGGAACTGGGCTAGTGCGGCGCAGAGGCCACCTTGTCACAGCCAGGCTGATACAAGGCGCCGAACACAGATGTGAAGAGACACAGCAGGCTGATGGAAGCGGCGCAGAGAGGCAGCGCAGGCGTAGAGACACTCTGGCTCTGGGTGCCTGCGAGCAAGACGCGCTCGTCGGCGCCGTTGGAGGTCGCGAAAAATTTCCTCTACTCCCTGAAACGGGACGCACGGACCACAGCACTAGCCCGTTCCTGGTGATGATCCAGCCTACTTAATGACCTGTTCATTCTCTTAGATAGGCCCGCAGCCCACCTTCTCCGACGCGCTCGCGGCACCGCATCGAGTTACCATCCCGTCACGTGACTACTCCAGTGCTGCGCCCACGGCACCCCCCGCCACAGAGGCTTGTGTGTGTGCCTCTGTGTTTGTGTGTGCACTTGGTGCGCCTTCGATGGCACTCGCCTGCGGGCCCATAGTAGTAATTTCTAATCCCTCTGGCCGCGCGCCCATAGCCAGACCCACCCGCTGGTCACGATGAGGTTTGTCGCATATCCCACGGCTGCTGCTGCATGCATGTCGCGCTAACCCTGCCATAGTGCCACCAGATTGGACCGTCTCGTCACGTAAGTGCACCCGACTCCAGCTTTGCACATGGCTTTGCACCCCTTCCCGACAACGCCAGAAAGAACAAACATACTTGCCATGCCCCTCGCATACCACGCCCTGCCATGCACCCCCCCAACATGGCATTGCCCCTCTTGTCCCCTCTGACCCACCCTTGTCGCCTGCTCGCTAACCCGCGCCAAGGCTCCTCGAGACTGGCAGCACAGCATTGATCCGCAACACAGCAGCCGACCAACTTGCTGACGTCCAGAAACAACATCCCGATGAACTGTTCAACCTCCTCACCCGTGTCATCCCTTACCTGAGGTCAAAGAGCTGGGAGACTCGAGTCGCTGCTGCCAAGGCCATTGGCGGCATTGCCGCTAACGCCGACAAGTTTGATCCCAATGCTGATGACGATGATGCCGATGAATCCAGCAAATCCAGCCTCAAGTCCGAGTCGAATCACAATGTCAAGTCCGAAGATAGCAATGGCGCCGTCAAGAAAGAAGAAAACGGCGACGCTGTCTTGCCTCCCCTCTCCCACGGACTCGATCTAGCTACCCTCGACCTGCCCTCCATCCTCAAGTTTGGTAAAGTCTTGGCTTCCTCTGGTGCAAAGGAGCATGACTACAAGCTGGCTGCCATGGACCCCGCCGAGCGCCTGGAGTACCAGAAGAGTACCCTCCTCAAGCGCCTTGGCTTCGAGGGTCCATGGACCGAGGACCTCTCACCACCTCACGAAATCATGCCTCAAACACCCGGGCCCAAGACGCCTGCACCAAATCGCATCGACACAAATGTCCCACGTGCCGACAGCTCAAATCTAGCCTCTTCTCCTCCCCCTGCATTGGCCACGCCCAACGGCCAGGGACTAAGTAAAAGGCAGCAAAACGCCCTCAAACGCAAGCAAAAAAAGAATGCTGCCGGGGGTGCTAACAAGGTCCAAATCGTTGATTTTAACGCAAACTCACGCAAAGATTCACAGTCAGATGCAGTAGAAACCCCCAGTCGCCCCCATCCAATTGCCCTTAAGCTCGAAAAGACCGAGAACGGCGAGGAAGGCGACAGTGGTGTAAACGACTACTTTTCGCTCGAGCGCAACGGCGGAGACGACGACGCAAAGTTTGTCAAGGAGTTCAAGGGCGCGCCCGTACCCGAAAAGTCGTCGTTTCAGGCCGAGGCTGTGGAGGCTGGGCTAGAATGGCCATTCGAACGTGTGTGTTCGTATCTTGCTGTCGAACTTTTTGACTTCACCTGGGAGGTCCGTCATGGGGCTGCCATGGGTCTTCGAGAAATCCTCCGTGTGCACGGCGCCGGCGCCGGCAGGCGGAAAGGGCTCACTCGAGCCGAGAATGATCAGCTCAATCAACAATGGCTCAACGACCTGGCGTGTCGCATGATCTGCATCTTCATGCTCGATCGCTTTGCAGACTTCACTGGTGATAATGTCATTGCACCAATACGTGAAACTGCAGGACAAGCACTCGGTTCCTTGCTGCAATACATGACTGGCGACAATGTGCTGGCAACTTTCAGAGTTCTCAATCGCCTAATCATGAATCAGGACTTACCTGTTGACACCAACCCTCTCAGTGCACCCTGGGCCCTTTGTCAGGGTGGCATGATTGGCTTGCGGTACCTTGTCGCTGTGCGAAACGATCTGCTCCTTCAAGATGGTACTTTGATGGATGGTGTGCTCGCTGCAGTCACCAATGGCCTGAGTAATGACGATGATGATGTACGAGCCATCAGTGCCGCAACGCTAATCCCCGTTGTAAAGGAATTCATCGAGATGCGGCCCAAGGCACTCGAAGGATTGATGAATGTCGTCTGGTCATGTCTCTCCAGCTTGCAGGATGATCTCAGCGCTAGCACCGGTTTCATCATGGACTTGCTGGCTAAGCTCTGCGGTTTCCCTCAAGTGCTCGAGGCAATGCAAGCAAACGCTCGCCAAGACCCAAGCCAGTCATTCCACGAGCTCGTCCCTCGCCTCTTCCCCTTCCTACGACATACCATTACTAGCGTTCGTGCGGCTGTGTTGCGTGCACTAATCACATTCCTCAATATTCAGAGCCAAGAATCAGATGGCTGGATAGACAGCAAGGCGTTGCAGTTGATATTCCAGAACATCTTGCTCGAGCGCAATGAAGGCGTTCTGAAGCTCTCAATGCAGCTTTGGAATGCCGTAGTTGCAAGCTTGGGTAGTCAATTACCCAACCATCTGGAGCCCGTATTGGATGCGATTGTTCCCCTCACCCTTACCCCCATCGGAGTCTCTCGTCACCCCATTTCCCTGGACAAATCGCTTCTTATCAAACCTTCTGGGCAAGCCATGGGACCCCCACCGAACACCGAGACGAGCCGGAAATCGACACCGCCCGATGGCGCCGAACCAGCCCAAAAGAGGAGAAAGAAGTCCCGCCCAGGAAAAGACGACATGGCAATACCAGCACCATCCTCTCAATCTCACAACGTCGACGGACACATGATTACTGGAGATCTGGAACTCATTGGAGCAGATGTCATGATCAGATCCAGAACCTCCGCAGCCCAAGCTCTGGGAACAGCCATGGGTGCCTGGCCCGAAGAATCGCGACTTCAGGCTTTCAAGTCCAGGCTGGTAAGCCCACTGTCCTCGCCAAACTCCACGACTCAATTGACGGCTGCCATCATTATCGAGGAGTTTGGAAAGAACCTGAAAGCCAAGGACGCGTTGGCCGAGTTGTTCGTCCAACACCTGCTGCCCATGGTAGAAGGCGAGAGACCTCTAGCCTATGAGGATCTTGTGCCAAAACTCCAGATTGTTCGCACGCAATGTTCGTCGTTGCTCCATATCTTCCAGGAAGCACACGTACAGAACCTGCCAAACCTTTCAACTATCGTCCAAGGATTACCATTTACAAACAACTATGCTTTTGGAGTTGCGGATGCTGAAAAGCTGGTCACTGTGCAATATGAGAAGCTAAAGAAGGCTATGACACCTTCCTCGCGTATGATCGCTGCAGCCAACCTAGAGACGACGCGCAAAGAAGTAGAGGCCAGCATTCAGGAAGCCAAGAACATCAAGGAAGAGCGCGATATTCGAATCAAGGCCGCTGCTGCTGGCGCACTTGTGGCGCTTGACTCGCCTCCCAAGAAACCATCACCACCTATCAAGGCTATGATGGATAGCATCAAGAAGGAAGAGAATGTGGAATTGCAAAAACGTTCTGCAGCTGCAGTTGCCGGTTACATTGTACACCTGGTCAATGGCAAGAGATCGGGCGTCGTGAACAAGGTTGTCGGCAACCTGGTCAAATTCTACTGCATGGAGACGGCAGAAACTCCCGAATTCGCTGGGCAATCGCACATTGAAACCGGTATCCTGACGCTTAAGAAAGACGAAGACGTACGGGACCATCCAGACGCTGCTCGATTTGCAGAGGAGTCACGGGCTGCGAGAATCACCAAGCGTGGTGCACGCGAGGGCCTGGAACAGGTTGTTGAACGTTTCGGTGCTGAGGTTTTCGAAAAGGTGCCCATTCTGAAGGACCTGATTGAGCGGCCGATCAAGGAGGCATTCACCGAAGCGTCGCTGCCCCCGCAAATCTTCAATGAAGACGGTGTCTTTGGACAAGAAGTTGTCGATGGCCTGTCGACTTTACGCGCTCTGGTAGGCAAACTGCATCCAAGCGTGAGAAGTTTTGTCAAGGAACTCCTTCCACTCATTGCCAGGGCTTTACAGAGCAAGCTGTACGTATTGCGGTACGCAGCTGCTAAATGCTTTGCGACGATTTGCAGCGTCATGTCTGTTGAGGGTATTACAATGCTTGTCGAGAGTGTGCTGCCAACCATTAGCGATGGTGGTAACGTACATGCTCGCCAGGGAGCAATCGAGTGCATATACCACCTCATCCACGTCATGGACGATGCAATCCTGCCATATGTCATCTTCCTCATCACTCCTGTCCTTGGACGAATGAGTGATTCAGACAATGACGTCCGATTACTCGCCACAACCAGCTTCGCTACACTGGTCAAACTCGTACCACTCGAGTCGGGTATTCCCGATCCACCAGGTCTTCCAGACTCCCTGCTCAAAGGCCGAGACCGAGAGCGCAAGTTTGTTGCTCAAATGCTAGACGCCAAGAAGGTGGAGCCTTTTGAGATTCCTGTCGGCATCAAGGCAACGCTCCGTTCCTATCAGCAAGATGGTGTCAACTGGCTGGCATTCCTTAATCGGTATAACCTCCACGGAATCCTCTGTGACGACATGGGTCTTGGTAAGACTCTACAAACTCTTTGCATGGTGGCTAGTGACCATCACATGCGTGCTGACGAGTTTGCCAAATCTGGAGATCCAAACTTCCGTCGCCTACCGTCTCTCATTGTGTGCCCGCCCACCCTGTCTGGTCACTGGCAGCAGGAGATTCGCCAATATGCGCCTTTCCTTAGCTGCGTTGCTTACGTAGGCTCGCCACCAATCCGAAGTCAGTACAGGAACGACCTTGACAAAGTAGACATTGTCATCACTTCCTACGACATTTGCCGCAACGACGCCGATATCCTCAAGCCCATCAACTGGAACTACTGTGTCCTAGACGAAGGACACTTGATCAAGAATTCAAAGTCAAAGACAAGCCAGGCTGTCAAGCAGTTTCAGTCCAACCACCGCCTCATTCTCTCCGGCACGCCAATTCAGAACAACGTCCTTGAGCTGTGGTCTTTGTTCGACTTCCTCATGCCAGGTTTCCTTGGTACCGAAAAGGTCTTCCAGGAGCGTTTTGCCAAGCCCATTGCTGCATCTCGGTTTGCAAAGAGCTCGTCAAAGGAGCAAGAACGGGGTGCTTTGGCAATTGAAGCTCTTCACAAGCAAGTGTTGCCCTTCCTCCTTCGTCGTCTCAAGGAAGAGGTTCTAGATGATCTACCACCCAAGATTCTACAGAACTACTACTGCGATCTTTCCGAGCTGCAGCGCAACCTCTTTGACGATTTCACCAAACGTCAAGGTAAAGAAATCCAGTCCAAGGCTGGTAATGCCGATCGTGAGAGCAAGCAACACATTTTCCAGGCTTTGCAGTACATGAAGAAACTTTGCAACTCACCTTCGCTTGTTGTCAAGGGCCCCACCAACAAGGCATACGAGTCAACTCAACAGTACCTCAAAAAGCACAACACTACGATTGACGATATTGCGCACGCACCCAAGCTCGGGGCTCTCAAGGATCTGCTTGTCGATTGTGGTATCGGAGCATCAGACGTTGTCAGCGACAAGTCGGCGAATGCGAACGGCGACTTACCCGAAGCTGTCTCCCAGCATCGCGCTCTCGTCTTCTGTCAGATGAAGGAGATGCTCGACATGGTGCAGCATAATGTGCTCGAAAAGTTGCTGCCATCCGTTCAGTTTATGCGTCTAGACGGTGGTGTTGAAGCCACCAAGCGACAAGAAATTGTCAACAAGTTCAACACAGATCCGTCTTACGACGTCTTGCTTCTTACCACTAGTGTCGGTGGTCTCGGTCTCAATTTGACTGGTGCCGACACCGTCATCTTCGTCGAGCACGATTGGAACCCGCAAAAGGATATCCAAGCCATGGACCGCGCGCATCGTATTGGTCAAAAGAAGGTAGTCAACGTCTACCGCATTGTTACGCGCGGTACCCTGGAGGAGAAGATCCTAAAGTACGTATCCATCTTTTCCTGAAATCACATGGTCACAAACGCTAACCCTCGTAAACAGTCTCCAACGATTCAAAATCGACGTTGCCTCGACAGTTGTCAACCAACAAAACGCCGGTCTGCAGTCGATGCAAACGGATCAGATCCTTGATCTCTTCAACGTATCTGCTGACTCAAACGATCCTTCTGCCTTGCCTGCACCGCCTTCAAACGCCAAGGACGACGGCACTGGCATCGACGAAAACGACGCTGTCGATGCCACGGGCGCGCTGAGAGAAAAGGGCAAAAAGGGCTTCTTGGATGAACTGGGCGATCTCTGGGACGAGAAGCAGTACGACGAAGAGTTTGACCTTGATGGCTTCTTGGGCAAGATGAAAGCTTAGGGTTTGAAAGAAAGACAATTGGGCGACAAGAAACCACTTGGGTAGAACAGGCAAAATGTTTGAGTGTTTGAAGCAAAAAAACTCTGTCTTGTTTTGTCACAGGAATTTGGGGCGGCGTTTCAACGGTGTTTTTCTTTTCTTCTTCTTTTTCTTTCTGACGTCTTATTGATTGTATGACGTAAGGGCTGGGCGGGCGGACGGACGGATGGACGGGGCAGATGCGAGACCAGTTGCGTCGGATTCTTTTCTTTTCTCCTTTTTTTTTGCTTTTCAAACTCGGCTCTTTACCCCGAGGCAAAGGAGACGAGAGCGGAGAGAGCTACCGAAGTATGCGTGTGCGTGTCCGCGTATGTGTGTATTAATTAGCATGGCGTTTTGAGCGGGCATTTTGGGTCGCGTTGGACAAGTTTTGGCTTCCCTCCCTTCTTCCTGTTTTCTTTTTCTTTTTTGATGGGATGAAGGGGGGCCCAATGGGAATGTATGCATGTATGTAACTATGTATGTATCGAAGTAAAGAGGGAGAGTTGGGTTATGTGTGTATGGAACAGTTGGGATATATGAAATGCTTTTGTTTTTTTGTATGACGTCTTTGTGTTCTTTCTTTTGTCTTTCTCGCTATCTATTTGTGTGGGGTTTGGCGATGGACTTCGACATATGTCGTTGTCTCATATACAAAGTCCGATTGTGAGGGCATCTGATCGGGTACTTGAAAGGTTTTGTTTGCCGTTGGCGATGGAGCTGTGACAACGGATATATATATATATACATGCTTTTTTCGCTGGCCATGTCGTTTGGGACGCTTTATGGGATATCGTAGGGAAGCTATCAGTTACAGAATCTACAAAGCCCAACTGTGTCTCCGTGCTGTGGGGGTGCATTGCCGTTTCTTAGAGCGTGGACGTGTGAGTTTCCATGTTGCATGAATATACCCGGGAAGACGATACGGAAATCCACTGGTATGGTTCCGAGACGCGCGTTTTGTGTGTACAGAAAATAGCAGCTGTAGTGTAGCGATGAATAAACGTCTGGTTGGGTATGCTTTTGTTCCTGAGGTCAAATGTTCACTGTGTGAAGGGCGTTTCCGATTAACAGTCATAGCCTCAAACAAAGCTCTCATGAAACCCAGAGATGGACACAGCGACTGTAAAACTCTGGCTAATATGGGTTTTTGTTCATTTCATCCGGCATGCCGTGGCCGCGCGTCATATAGGCGGGGATCCTTGGAGATGGCCAGGCGTAGGTTCACAGAGATTGTACAAAGGGAACGGGAACCGGCACCAGACTATGGAGTTTGCACCCTCAAAGGAAAATGTGGAGTGCTATTTCTTTGGTTCCCATTAGAATGTGTCATGTCCCTGTTAGTAGTAATGCCTACGTCAACCATTGGGTTCCATTGGACTTGGGCATGGAGCTGCTGATGTCAGCAGGGCCATTTCATACGGTAAAGACTTGCTTCTGATAGGATGTCCTTCCAACTGGTGAGTAAGGTAGATCTCAGAATGGTATCAGAGGGATCCTGGAAACAACACGCGGCCAGCCAGAGAAAGAAGAAGATCGGTCCAGGGGCTTCACTGCAACCAGGATGACTTGGAATTAAGTTGTAGCAAAACAAAGGAAAGGGCTGGCAACTGGAGGCTCGTTATGTCACATGGCGCTTCTCAAAGTCCACAATTGATCCCAGACTTGCCCATCGCAATTAGTTTTCTGGACTTGTTTTAGTTGAATCGGTACGCTGGGTGCGCCAGGTCGAGCCTCAGAAGTCAATCGGATTGTGCAACTGGCCACTGACACGGTATGATCAATGGGAATGTTTGGAAGATCTCCCGGTATCCGCCTCATGGTGGGGTATTCCGGAATGGCACACTCATACCTGGAGCCTTGCCTGCCCATGGATTGTGAGAGGAATTCCTAGGTATGATTCTCCAAGCTGGAATGCCAATGACGTCATCGGAATCTGAACTCAGGGGAATGCTTTTTGGCGAGTGATCTGTGGATGGCTCTTGGGAACCCCTGGTATTACGCACTCGTCCATGTAGATGGTAATATTAAAAGGTGGATGCGCCCGGTCATGGCAACGCTTAGATGAGATCAGCAAGGGCCGAGTGAAATTCCGATACGTCGAGTCTGGGTATTTGGAAACATGAAATCTCGACGGACTGACACTACGCATTCCAAGCGCATGTTGAATGCAACGTAATGGTGGTGGGTGGGCCGGGAGTGGAGGTACGAAGTCGTTGTTTCAAGGCAGGTGATGATCGTTTGGTCAGCGAAACCTCGGTGATGCCTGTAGCGTCAGTTAGCTGTGTCAAACATGATGTCAGCGGAGAAGTATAGGGAGGGAACAGGGCTTCAGATATGGAAGAGAGGATTTGCTTGTGTTGTGAGGCGAGCTGTTGGGTAAGACAAAAATCAAATGTCAACGGGTGTGCGAGACGTACAAGGCAAGTGTGGGGCGGCCCCTGTTGATCAAGGACGCTTCAGGAGGGGCCTCCCGCTCATTGCGCACTGATCGCGTCGTGTGGGTGGTGTACTTACGTACTAGTACCTACTCTAAGTCTCGTTATCGCAGCACGGCACTGTTCTTTCCGCACGGTTCCGAGTTTGTTTGTACAAGTGCCGGTCGTAGCTTCTCCGAAGGGTCTGTGTGACTGTTGCCGGTGTGCAAAGCAACTGGGTCCACACGGCAAAAGAAATATACTCGAAATCTGACAGTCCGGGAAACGTGGAGGATAGATCTTGTCTGATGGGCATTAGATCCTCGCTGTTCTTGTAGTAAACGACTGAAGTACCATCCCACATCTCTGACGATGCGCCGTTGTTCTTGCATTATCCACGAATTGATTGTGCACAACACCACAGATGCAAATGCAACACCAATCCCCTCCGGCTAAGTATCTTTTGGCAGCCACCACCGAAACCTTATCAAGGAACCATACCCCTCATGCAAACATTGGGTTTTTTTTCCTTTTCCTATACACATGGACAATCACTGTTGTTTCCTCTAAAAGTACGAATATTTCTCCGAAACTAGGCAGGCCGTCACCACTGATAACATAATAACCCAAATCCAAATGTTTGACTTGGTAGCCAAAAATTTACCATTTGAGTAGAGCAGAGTGGCTTCGGCGCCTCGGCGGCAAGATAACAACATACAATGCATGTCGGCAGCATGCAAAGCATATGGGAAGTGACAGATGCGAAACCAAGTTCAAGTCCGTAAGCGCTCAATAGGTACAATATATCGGCCAAAAGTCCCACAATGGAGAGCAGACAGCTCATCCATCTTTCCAGCTTTACCAGGCTTAGTGTTGCCACACCATGAAACTCTCTGTTGCTTTCGTCGCTGCCCTTGCCAGCTCGGTCCTAGCCATAGGTATACAGGCCCGGGTCCATGGAAACTACCAGCACCTGTCACAGCCCTCAACCCAAGACAGCACGGTCTTGAGGGTACAGTGCAGATCCATTACGAGGGATGCAGAGAACGCAAACCAGGTAGTAACTCGAGACAACTGGGCGGGTGCCATGCTCTCCAAGAAGCTTTGTGCGGGTAACTTTGCCTCTGCCACGGGGCGTTTTACGATTCCGATACCCAAGCACACTGGCGCCTCGAACGATACAGAATGGGGGTCCGCATGGGTGGGTATTAGCGACTACACCTTTGAGTCTCAACTACAGGGTGGTGTGGACTGGACGGTTGAGAGATCCGGCAAGGTATCATACACGGCATGGTACGAGGGGTTCCGTTACGAGCCGTCTTATCTGGACGATTTCAACGTTACAGGCGGAGATGAGATCCAAGTGGATATAGCGACTACATCGACTACCACGGGGAATGTTCGATTGATCAACATCAGCACTGGCAATAATATCAGCATGGATGTGACATCGCCTCCAGACACTTTCTTGACCAGCGACAATGCAGAATGGATCATGGAATACTTTTCCGGTGGAGGGCGTTTGGCGCTGGCAGACTTTGGGAGGGTGGTGTTCACAAATGCTAGTGCCAAGATGAGCACTGGTCGGGTGGAGGATCTGAGGGGTGCTACGATTATCAAGATGGTGCTGGATGACAAGCTAGTTGCTGATAGTGTTATCGATAGCCTATCGCAGATTGCAATCAAGTACGTCAAGTAAGAAGAGCTGACAGTCTGGCTACGAGGGAAACGCATTGAGTAGTGTCACTATTTAGTTCAAATGAGCAGCATGAACGTACATAATAATGATAATAATCAAAGACCAATCGCTATGCAGATGTGACCTATAGAGCAGAGTGGCGGTATTGGACATTAGTGAATCATCTGACCGTCTGATTTCGGCTGCAAAGGAGGACCAGGGTGGGTGCCATGACAGGTCCAAAACGGCAGACTGTTGGCATGGAGAACCATACGATCGACATTGATTAGGTGACAGGGGTGGAATGCAACGGGCAGGGGTGTGGACACAGATGCTATTGCCGATGGCCAACCGGGATATTTTTAACTTTGAGCACAGTATTCTGGCTGAATGCAGGCGTGGGGCACGTGTTGTGAGAGCATCCGAGGCGGTCAGGGAGCCGACAACAAACGTCGTTGGTTGGGGTGTGTTCCGCCAGGCCAAAGAAACAAGAGAGCCGCTGGGCAACGAGCAGTGGGAACGATGACGACAGCCGGCGACGACATGGCGAGGGTTTTTCTTAGTGGTCTGGGCCTTGTTGAGAAGAAGGTGAGGCCGAGATGAGCTGGGAGCAGCGAGGGGGACGGTGACAGAGTAAGACCCGAACGGGCGAGGGAGCTATGGCGCTAGGCCGAATGCGGCGACGCCCCAAGGCTTAATTTCCACTGGCTTGGCAAGGCGGCGAAGCAGTTCCGTCCATCCACACCGAAGCCAATGCAACGCCGTCTGCTTGCTCCACCCCAATCCATATGCATGTGCACACACGCACACACGCCCACAGCTGCACGTCTGAGGAGAGTGCATCGCCGCCAGCAACAGGTGAGACGCGTGTGGGTATGTACTATCAGCGCACGACCAAAAGAGCTGACGATGCGGTCCACCGCTGCGAGGGCGCGACGGGAAAAGTGTTTGCAAACAAAAAGAAAATCGCTGACACACCCTGCATACTCTGCAACGCTGACAGCTTGGCCGTGCAGCCTATTTCGGGATAGTCATGGCCATCGAGCAGGCGCGCAATGGCAATGCTGATGGATGGCAATGGCGCGTGGAGACTGGTGCCGCTGCCGTATCGCAGTTGCAGTCGAGGGGTTGCGTTCAACGGGCTGCCCGATAAGACGTTTCTCCTGAGCAAGCTGAGCATTCCCTGCTGCGATCGCCAGCCAGCACACGACTCGAATGGGTGCCAGCGGGTGCGAGTTGACGCCTCGTCTCCCGCTTCAGGGCGCCTCGACGCCGGTTCATTTAGCCAACACGAGAGCCACGGCCGCTACTAGCAGGCAACCTGCCCATGTCGTCTTAGCATCAGGCACGTCCGCCCTGCCACTGGCCAGCCGACCGCCGGGGGCCACTTGGGACCTGCGTTAGTCCTGACACCCGCTGGACCACTTGCATGGCCTCGACGTCTCCGCCCCTGTCGCCTGTCCTGTCCACCCCCCTTTCAGTGGCCACATGTTTCCGGCCCGCGCTACGACGCTTGCAATCTCCCTTTGCTACATAAGCTGACGAAGTGCTCGCCCTCCAACTTTTCTTCTCCACTTCACAGCCAACTTTCGAGCATCAAGTCCCTGACCTTCGAGTCGTCCATTCGTTGTCCTCAACCTAATACTATCCTTAATAATTCAATCTCGCCAACTCTCTTCCAACCTCTCCCACCAACCACTTCATCTTTTACTTTTCAAGTTCTAATACCCAACAATCAAAATGCGTTACACCATTGCCATCGCTGCCTTCGCCGGCCTCGCCGCCGCTGCTCCCAGCTACAACGCCTACCCAGCCTACCCTGAGGTCCCGGCTCCTGCTCCCTCTTCCGAGCCTTGCACCACTGAGGTTCCTCACCCCGCTACCTCGGTCCCCGCCTACCCGGTCGAGACTCCCAGCAAGCCTCCTACCTACCCTGCGGAGACCCCCAGCCTTCCTCCCACCTATCCTGCGGAGACTCCTAGCCAGCCTCCTACCTACCCGGCTGAGACTCCCAGCAAGCCTGCTCCTACCTACCCGGCTGAGACCCCCAAGGTCCCTGTCCCCCAGGAGAGCCACCCCGTCTACCCCGCTGAGACTCCTTCTGCCCCGGCTCCTACCTACCCTGCCGAGACTCCCAAGGTCCCCAGCCCTGACACCACCACCTCTTGCCTGAGCTCCACCACCATCACCGTCACCGTCCCTTACCCCACCGGTACTGGTGTTCCTCCTTCTCCCTACACTCCTGGCAAGCCTTCCGTCCCTGTTGCTCCTTACCCATCTGTCCCAGGTGGCGGTGCTCCCTACCCATCTGTCCCTGCCGGTACCGGTGTTCCCCCTGCTGCTGGCACTGGATACCCCACCAAGACCGGTGGCTACGTCAAGCCTTCCGCTCCTCCTGAGTTCAGCGGTGCCGCCTCTGCTCTCAACGTCGGTGGCTTCGTTGCTGGTGTCGGTGCTTTTGCTGCTTTCTTCTTGTAAATGTCATCTTCTTCAATCGAGCTTGCTACTTAGTAGGCTATGACTTTACATGAGTGCATTGCATAGAGGTTTAGGTCTTCGCTTATAGGTACGCCCTTGGTATCGCAAAGGGTAATTGTAATTAGTTGGGTCGATTAGTAGCAATTGAACTTGAAACACCATTTTTTCTCTTTGACTGATATCTGTGCTCTGGTTCTCGATTGTGAAAATTCCCATGTCCGTTCCCATAACATCTTTCTTTGCCTATCTCTCCCCGACTATTACGCTGAACGAATAATGGATTCTTGTACAGAGCGCCATTCGGAGACCGGTACCACAGAACCATATGAAAAGTCATAGCACGACCAAACCCTCTGAAATGCAATGGAATTTCTCCATCGAACTACCCCGGAGCCTCCGCACTAGGACCCCCCCTCCCCCCATTCCAAACACGGCAACCCAGCGCGCCCTTGCACCCAAGACCATCAAATTTCCGGTGTTTCCCAATCAAGACACACCAACCCGAGTCACACACACACCTGCTGTTGTGCCTGGGGTGCGGGTGGCCTTATTGCGCAAAAAAAAACCCCCCTGTTCACCTCGCTCGTTTTCCCACAGCCTTTCATTTCCGCATTTTTGCATCGTTTTTAATCAAAATTTTATTCACGTCTCCCTTCTTCCCGCACCCAAGCGTCTTAGCATGGGGAAACAAGCACCCCTTCCCCCCAATTTTTTTTTGTGCGCAATCACTTCACCCAAAAATAGAGAGATTAGTGTGGTCCTTGCGTGTTTTCCCCCCTCCATTGCTATCTTAACATGCATAGTTCGTATGTTTATTCTGGATTTGGATATTGTTAATGCAAACGAGTGGTTTTTTGAATTACTAGTATAGAATTGAGTGGTTCTCCCGAAGTATGGTTTCTTTTTCTTTTCCTTACGAGTTAGTACGAATGGAAGCGAGGGCCTGTGAGACCGATGGAATTCGGCGTTATTATTTCGCCTGTTTGTCGCGGAGGGTGTCAGATGACGGGCGGCGTATTTATGCATACGAGAAGGAGAGCGCCTTGTTGTGCATAAGTCTCGGGGTAAAGAAGGGATATCGCGCGTTAGAGTGTGTGCGCCTCAGGCAACGCTTGCATGTATGTTGCGACGGTTCGTATCTGGGGTAAGAGCTTCATGATGGAGTAATACTACTCCGCAAATTACATTCCTATCTTGTTCTTTCTTAACCTTTTTTTGTTCTTTCAGTCCCTTTTTCTCCTTGCGCGCACAACATCACCGTGCCATCGGCTTCCCTTTAATCTATCTAAGCTGCCGCCGGATGCTTCACGACTCGCGAATAAGGTTTATACAGGCTTATAGTTCATAAAAATCTGTGTTCTTTGTTTCCTTCCTGCCGTTTGTGGCTAAAAAAGACTTCGCGTGAAGAGGGCAAGTTTTGTGGCTTACGGGAAATTGATGGGTGGTGGAATCAGCGGGGGCCTACTACGCGTTTCATCAGGCGGCGTTGTTGGCGCTTTTGGGTTGAGGTTCCGGAGCCGCTGCTGCGTGAAATGGGTTTCCGTGTAAGCACTTATGAATGATGTGTGCATCGTACCGGTGGTAAAGGACCGGGTGGCGCGTTTGCGGGAGGGAAGATACGGTCGTATAGAGATTGGGTTTGTTTATGTGGGTGTTGGTGGGTGTAGTATGTGGGTAGATTAGATTTGCGATGTCTGTGAGGACTTCGGAGGTTTCTTGCATTTCACGTCCATGTCAACATAACCGATTTTGATATTTGTTGCAGCTGTCTCGAAGTTTTTAGACGTCAAGTAGCTGGTATTCTAATTATTGTAGACAAATTCTCAGCAATTGGTAGGAAATGTGGGGTAACCGAATACCCTTCGCTGCGTGCCCAAGGTCCTGCCATACAATTGGGAACATGCTTTTCTGTTTAGATCCATTACAACATGATTGCCAGTACAATTTCTTGATGTGGATTCCATCTTCTGAACTATGTCTTATGTTGGGACTGTCGCAGTATACCTGCGAGATCTGTTGAATAAAGTAGCGGTGATTTCTCCATCAAACACCCAACACATGGCAGAGACGGTACGAGGCATTGATGTCAATACTGATAAACCACCAACCAGTCTAGGGCAATGATACTCTACAAGACAGAATCTGCGTTGGCTAGGACAGCGACCGCGCCTCTTTAAGATCGAACTGTCACTCAATCCCTACTGAAAAGTCACAACCCGTCATGAGAATCATCGCGATCCTTTCGGCCTTTGCTGCCACAGCTCTCGCAATACCGTTCAATAATTCAACTATAGAGCTCACACCGCGGGTATTCGACAGAAACCCCAGAGGCTGCCCAACCTCCTTCATTCAACCATATGGCGAACTGCCAAAAGGTCGCACCTTCGCGCCCCGAGACATCTTCCAAATCAGCGAAAAGAAACCTACCGAATTTTTCTCACCCGACAGCTGGGCGGGTACAACCGCAAGAGACAAATGCACCGTCTTCAACATACCCTTGGATGCCGACAGGGCCAGAGGCAAAACCTGCAACCTTGTCTTCAACTTCCCCGACTACAAGCAAGCACCAGGTATATCCCGCATGATCGGCCCAGGCCACTTCATGTTCCACCCCTTTGCCCACGGCGCTCGGGTTCCACTTCCCATCGTTACAACTTGGAGTAATAAACCTCCGCTTAGTATCACACCACCGATTACCATAAAGCAGTTTGCTCCCCGCCATAGTTACGTTCTTAGCTCGGGGCCGTGCTATGTTTCTCAGGAGCAAAAGGGAGTAGTGGTGAGGAGCGGTATGCTGTGCTCCAAGGACACTTTGTTGTGGTTTAAACAGAGCGACGACAGGTGTCCTATGGGACTCTATCTGATCATTTCCGAGCCGGATGGTTCCGATTAGTAGGGTTGGGATGAGACAAGGGACAGCTACTGTGGTGGAATGTAATAAATATCATGACTATTGTATCATTTAGCTTCCATCATCTGGGGAAGAGGGGCTTTTTTTGATATCTGGCGTCTGGATGCAGGGCTTTGGTGGACATTGTAGAGGTCGAAGGCTAATCGATTCCAAAGCATATTCAATGAGATACCAATCCTTCAATTCGTCATTTGCATATGCTTCTCTGGCTCGATATTCGTTTTATTTCAATGTAGGCGGATGATATAGTTGTTCTAGACCTGCCTTGGAAGTTCAGGTGCTCTAGTGCTACTACTATAGCAAGCAATTCGCATAGCGTGAGACCTAAGGGCGGGGCTCTATCGATAGTGAGTCACGCTAGTGGCGGGGATTCGGAGGAGTCAACTCTAGAAAATCGTTCCCCGCCACGGTCATTTCTCATCAACACCAAAAATGTCTATTGACTTCCCTCGCGAGGAGGAGCGCGTGCTTGCGCGATGGAAGGAGATCGACGCCTTCCTGAGGCAAGTTGAGCTGGTAAGTGGATGCGAATTCCTGCGCCCTTTTCCAGCATACTTCACGTGCCCCTCTGTCGGCTTGTCTGTTGTGATCTTGCCTTGTTATAGCTATGTTGCATAACCTGTGACAAGCATATCTGGCGTTTTTTTTGTACTAATCCTACCCAGTCCAAAGGCAAAGAACCATACACCTTCTACGATGGACCGCCGTTCGCGACCGGATTGCCGCATTATGGCCATCTCTTGGCGTCCACCATCAAGGACATTATTCCGCGTTACTGGTCCATGAAGGGTCGTTACGTTGAGCGGAGATTCGGCTGGGATACCCATGGTGTTCCGATTGAGTACGAAATTGACAAGGAACTGGGCATGTCTGGACGTGATGCTGTGCGCGAGATTGGAATTGCAAAGTACAACGAAAAGTGCCGCGCCATTGTCATGAGATATGCGGCCGAATGGAGAACTACCATCGACCGTCTTGGGCGCTGGATCGATTTCGACAACGACTACAAGACCATGGATACCAACTTCATGGAATCCGAGTGGTGGGTGTTCAAGCGCCTCTTCGACAAGGGCGCTGTATACCGTGGGTACAAGGTCATGCCCTACAGTACAGCACTGGCAACACCTCTCAGTAACTTTGAGGCTTCCCAAAACTACAAAGATGTCCAAGATCCGGCAGTCGTTGTCACATTCCCACTTGTCAACGACCCAAACACATGCTTGTTGGCATGGTACGTATTTCTGCGCACACTCTGCTTGTCAATGCCCATACATTGGCAACCCTAGCTTGCTTTTGTGGGCATGTGCTAATGTGGTTACAACAGGACTACCACTCCATGGACACTACCATCCAACACTGGTCTTTGCGCACATCCCGACTTCGAATACGTCAAGATCCTCGATGAAGCATCCGGCAAACACTACGTTCTCCTCGAATCCCTGCTACGTACACTCTACAAGGACCCCAAGAAGGCCAAGTTCAAGATTGTTGAAAAGCTCAAGGGTAAGGACATGCTAGGCTGGAAGTACGAGCCCCTCTTTGACTACCTGTACGATGAGTTCAAGGACTACGGCTTCAAGGTCTTGAACGATACCTACGTTACAGCCGATAGCGGTGTGGGTATCGTCCACCAGGCACCCGCATACGGAGAGGACGATTACCGCGTCGCACTTGCCCACGGAGTCATTTCCGATACCAGAGTACCACCAAATCCAGTCGACGACCAAGGTTGTTTCACTGCAGTTGTTCGCGACTTCGAGGGTCAGCACGTCAAGGCAGCAGACAAGGGCATCATCAAGCATCTGAAAGGAACTGGACGCTTGATCGTAGACTCACAGCTTCTCCATAGCTATCCCTTCTGCTGGCGGTCTGATACTCCCCTGATTTACCGAACTGTTCCCTCATGGTTCATCAAGATCCAGGACATCGTTCCACAGATGCTGGAGAACATTGCAGGCTCACACTGGGTTCCTTCGTTTGTCAAGGAGAAGCGCTTCGCCAACTGGATCTCCAACTCACCTGACTGGGCAGTTTCAAGAAACCGTTTCTGGGGTACCCCGCTCCCGATCTGGGTCAGCGATGACGGAAAAGAGCTTGTGTGCGTTGGCAGCGTAGAGGAGCTGAAGAAGCTTAGCGGATACGAGGGTGAACTCACCGACATTCACCGTGACAAGATCGACCACATTACTATTCCTAGCAAAGAAGGTAGGGGTACGCTGAAGAGAACTAATGAAGTCTTTGACTGTTGGTTCGAGTCTGGCTCTATGCCCTACGCTAGTGCACACTACCCATTCGAGAACGTGGAGCAGTTCGAAAAGTCTTTCCCCGGAGACTTTATTGCCGAGGGTCTCGATCAAACTCGCGGTTGGTTCTATACCCTCACAGTCCTGGGCACACATCTTTTCGGCAAACTACCATTCAAGAACTGTGTCGTCAACGGAATTGTACTTGCAGAGGACGGCAAGAAGATGTCAAAACGTCTAAAGAACTACCCCGATCCTAATCTCATCATGAACAACTATGGTTCCGACGCTCTGCGATTATATCTCATCAATTCGCCTGTCGTCCGCGCCGAGACACTTCGCTTCAAGGAGGCAGGTGTCAAGGAAATTGTTTCCAAGGTGTTGCTACCACTATGGAACAGTTATCAGTTCTTCGAGCAGCAGGTATCGCTCCTGAAGAAGGTCGCCGATCTTGACTTTATGTTCGATCCAGCGGCTGAGAAGACAAATTCGAACGTACTGGATAGGTGGATCCTGGCATCCTGCCAATCGCTGCTGAAGTTTGTCAACGAAGAAATGGCCGCATACAGATTGTACACTGTCGTCCCGCGGTTGCTCGAGCTCATTGACAACACGACCAACTGGTATATTCGCTTCAACCGCCGCCGTCTGAAGGGTGAATATGGTCTAGAAGACACAAAACACGCACTCAACACACTCTTCGAAGTCCTCTACACACTCTGCCGTGGACTCGCACCTTTCACACCATTCATTACGGACAACATCTACATGCGATTGTTGCCACACATCCCTAAGGAGTTGCACGCAGAGGACAACCGTAGTGTACACTTCCTACCATTCCCAGAGGTCCGCGAGGAGCTGTTCGATGAAGCCGTTGAGCGCCAAGTCAAGCGCATGCAGTCGGTCATTGAACTTGGCCGTATCTGCAGAGATCGCGCGAACAAGGGTCTCAAGATCCCGCTCAAGACGCTTGTAGTCATCCACCCAGAGCAACAATATCTTGACGACATCAAGTCGCTCGAGACCTACATCTTGGAGGAACTGAACGTGCGAGAAATCGTGCTGTCAAGCGATGAGGAGAAGTACAACGTGCAATACTCTGCTACAGCCGACTTCTCCGTTTTGGGCAAGAAGCTCAAGAAGGACGCCGTCAAGGTCAAGAAGGCTCTGCCAAACCTCAAGAGCCAAGAGATCAAGGATTACTTGAAGAGCGGTGAGATTGTGGTTGATGGCATCAAACTTGAGGCCGAAGACTTGATGGTCAAGCGTGGTCTCGCACAGGACTCTAGCAACAAAGACCAAGAGTTTAACACTGACAATGACGTCCTCATTATTCTCGACGTGGCGTCGTACCCTGAGCTTGAGCAGGAAGGTCTTGCACGAGAGGTCATTCGCCGTGTACAAGATTTGCGCAAGAAAGCTGGACTGGTACCTACTGACGATGTGGGTATGGAGTACCGAGTCTTGAGCGACCCTGATGGAGTGGGCCTGGAGAAGGCATTCGAGAACCAAGGACCACTGTTTGAGAAGGCTCTGAGGAGGAATGTTGACAAGCACGTCATCACTGAACTTGATGGCAAGATACCCGAGAACAGCAACGAGAAGGTGATTGCAGAAGAGGAGCAAGAGCTTCACAAAGCAACTTTCATGCTGCGGTTGGTTAAGCTGTGAGGAGTATGCAATACTACTATGCCTCCAGCGGACGGGTTCGTAGATCGTTTAGTGTGCCCACAATAAGGGTTTTGATGGCATGACAGCGTAACGTAGATAGCCGAAGAAATGACAAAAATAACTTTCAATCAAATGCCAGAGAAATCGTGAACTTTGTATGTTACCAAGGATATTTACCAACCCATGACTTCTACCGCTGCTTGTACGCCTTCTGAGCCAATCGTTAGCTACCTGTGAATGAATCGGATCAGACATAGTCTTACAAGATAGCACTCTTTTAGTTTCATGAATTCGTTCACGCACATGTCTTTCCGTACGTTGTTGTAGTCTGCAAGAATACATTTGCCATATAATGAACTCTAAACAATGTTAGGATACAACAAAGAATACACAGTGCAAGGCCCTAGAAGTGGGGGATGAAGTGGCGCACGTACTTCTTTTGAGCATTTTGCAGCCGCAGTGGCGAGCTTGTCGATAGGGCGAGTTCGTCCAGGCATTTTGATGTGAGCAACAGATGACAATGTCAAATGAGTGATGTCGTGAGGCGCTGCAAATGTTTCTTCTATGTGTCGATGAGGTCAATGACAGGGTCCACCGCACTAGACTCTTGGCATTGTCGCTGTGTGAACGGGCAACCAACCATCCGCATAACAAAGCGCGTTGCTCTCACGCAGGCGGGCGCAGCGGGTTACCCCGTCACCCATGCATCGATACATCTTGTAATGCTTAGTCGCTGCGCGCAATCCTTTCCTTTGACGCGACTGCACCGCATACCACTTTTTGGTTGCTCGCACACTTCCCGGGCTCAGCAGCTACTTCCATGTTGTCGCGAACGCGCCGGAGACGACCGAGTCGCGTGCACGAATGCTACCCCCCATGACACAAAATGGACGTGACGCGAAGGACCTGACCAGGGATGAATTGCCCAACGAAGGTATTACTTACGATCTCTATTCCATTGTTTCTGTTCACCGTACTAATGTTCTTGCAGTCGTCGAAATTCTATACGACATCATATACCAGGCGCATCATTCGCAGGATAAGACGTCGCGCGCCCTCTTTGATGCA